TAATTACTAAATATCATACGAGAGTATGTCAAATTACTACAACATGTCAAATATCCGTATTTTTTAAATTCGTTTTACACATTAATGTTTCAAAATCAAGTGGAAAAATTGACTTATTTGTACAACCTGACGTGCTGTTGTTGTATTATATATATTGCTTTTTTGACGTACCTTTCTTAGAAATACTTTATATTAGGATTGATCCTATTATCCGATCAAAGTAAGTTGTCTAAATGAATAAATACTTTCTTATAAAACGCAAAGAAAAAAGAAATAACATCATCAACATTGGCGGACTAATACGATATTAGATGAATGTTTTTTTAAAGAAATATAATGTAATTTTAAACTCTTTAAAATAATAAGTTAATTTTAACCACAATTTATATATAAAATATGTCAATTATACTCAGATATCACCCCTAATGAACTTAGAAATTCGTAACAAGTAGACTTTGGAGCAAAGTTAGCGAAGGTTACAATCACGCATTCATACGAAGTCATTGTTATGTAAATTCTGGTAATTAACAATAAGGTTACATTATGCTTTAAGAAGTTGAAAAACAAAATACTGGTGGTAAAAATTTCATATACTTCAATTGTATTTTTTGTAGGCATTGATTTTCAAATCAAGAAACAAATAAGTTGTGATTATCGCACAGATTTCTAAACACTGTTATAATTGAGGCACTAAATATAAACACATTTCATTATCCCAAATGACCTGCGCCTAAAACACACGTCAAGCTATTTTCGTAGTAATTGAAGGTATGAATCCCATCGTAATATTTAATTACCAAACATAATCAATACAATTTTACCTTTTTTATTTTAATAAAAGAATCTTTAAGTTTATATTACGTTCTAACATTTTAGTAATTATTATGAAAATTTGGTGAGAAACAAACTCAACAAATAAAAGACCGGAGTAGCCATGTAATTTTTTATAAATATGTAGTGTAAAACTAACACAATTCTGTGACTTTGTTTTATAAATAAAAAGAATTTAACAAAGTGAAGTAAGAAGCCGTTGCAGTATCCTAGGCACCTTCCAGATGAGTGTGTATTGTTTACAGTAACGTGTATTGTTAACAGCAAAAATAACGAACGCATCGGCAACCCTAGTGGTGACTTAGAGTGATGCGTTCCACTTTGTATCGCGGCATTAGCCCCCTTCTAATATGACGAGAGATGAATGCGAGAATCTTCGTCACTTTTCACGTCGGTCGGCTGCTCTCTCGGTTCAGTATGAGCTAATTTGTTACAAAAAACTGTGTTCGTTCATATTTTTCACTTGTCATGTTTTAGGGTGAAGTGGTTGCCATATCGGAATGATATATTCGCTGGCTTTTGTTTCGTGAAATATTTTCGCGCTGAACACGATTGGATTTTAGTTTGTCACTTACTCGGTCACTTACACGGTCAAGAAAATAAGTTTTCATTGTGTACATTGTTATATGCCACTAAATTTATTCGCGACAAATGGAAAAATACTTACATAAACATAGATCTAACCTATACTACTATTATAAAGAGGAATGTTCTGATTATTTTTTTACTTCTATTAAATAGTCTCCGAAACCAGTGAACCAATTTTATAAATTCTTCCATCAAAACACAGGTGACATAGGCTATAATTTGGTTGCTGAGTTTCCGGAAATAGTTGTCTTATATAGTTTTATACTCTCTCCGCCGTTTCTATTTTAGCTTTAAAATATGTTCAGTAGAGATACTGAAAATAGTTTCACGCGATTTTTTGTTTTTAAAAAGTTTTTATTAAACTTGTTATTTTTATATGTTCGTTAAATATTGCAACTGAACTTTAAGCTTGTTATCTTCATTAACTAACCTAAAATTGTGCACGTTAGTCTCGTTTAGATGACGATGCATAGTTAGCTAAATTACATCATTTTTAAATCTTATGTAAGGCCCAAGAAGGCAGCTTAGTCAATTAATTAATACTGCCATAAAATTTGTAAACTTGGTTTTTACATAATAAATACAAAATTTGTAATGTGACTTCATGCTAATTCCAATAAGGTGGACTATCAAAAAATGCGGACTAGATATTTAATTAAACACTCATTTAATAAATATGTGTATCATGTGAAGAGATAACGATAAAAATAGTGAAAAAATGAAGTTAAAGTAATTAAACATAAATTAAAAGTAAATAAATAAAGCATAAAGTTAATCAAACACATATTTTTCTATTTATACTAGCCTTCCGTCAGCGGCTTCACCTGCGTGATCTAGTTTTAAGTCCAGAAAATTTCATAAAAACTTTCGTTTACCTCCTTAGGGGTCGAATTTGGTACCTGGTGCTCGCTAAGACGAGATTTACCTCCTTAGGGGTTAAATTCCGTCTTTGTGAGCACCTAAGTCCTAAAAACAACTCATATGCAAAATTTAAAATTCCTAGCACTTGTAGTAACGAAGTTTCATATAACCTTTCCTATCTTAACTTACCCCTTAGGAGTTGAATTTTATAAGATCCTGTCTTAGTGAGCACTTACGTCCTAAAATGAACTTGCATGCAAAGTCCTCGCACTTGTAGTTTCTGAGATTTCGTGATGAGTGAGCGAGTGAATGACCTTTCGCTTTCATGTATGTAGATTTCTAACAAAATGCTTAAACTACACGAAAGTGCCAAGTTATATATGTTTACAGATACACGTTTTGTAAAATTTTGTTATCTTTAATTTTTGTTTAAAAGACCTTTCTTCATCAAAATAAAAACGTCTTGCTAATCAATGGATGGAATTAATGGATATGTTTCTTTACTAGTATAGTAAAGAAAAGTATATACAAGTATTCAAATGAGTCATTCAAATTTATTTCAATATGTTTAATCACTCGTTCAATTAAGGAGGTCAAGCCAGAATGTCATGCCTGCACTGTACTTTAGTCGGTGTAAAAACAAGTAGTTGCAACTTTTTTATCTTCAAAAATTCTGAAAGCTTGTTATTTTCCTTGGATTTGAATTTCTTTTTATTATCATTTGGTCTAACGATGTTCCCTTTCTTATTTAGCAATTAAGTCGATAATGTTTAAAGCATATTTCCAAACGCCCGGCTACCGCATTACTAAGCACATTCATAACATTTTTAAAGCGGCAATTATTTTTTTAATGAATACAGTATGTCGACCACCTTCAGTATTATACGAAAACAGCAAACGTATTTTTGAGCGTAACGGAATTTTTAATGGAACATTGAAATTGTTGTGTGAATTTTTCATTAAAAACGGAAGAGGTTTTCAACGGTGGCCTGCGTAGAAAGGCAACTACGGGAGTACCACTTATTATTATTCTATAGAGATATTATAAAGAGGGCTTTGTTTGTTTTTGAAGGAAAAATTCAATGTCTACCTTCTGGACTGAAAATAAAAATCCATTCTTCTACATAAAGCTGCATGAAGCTACTATATTATTATCAAGAATAATTTTATTTTAAACAAGTACAGTTTGAAGAACTCGATGGCGCAGTACCTAGCACGTTAAGCCTGCAATTGCTCTTATTAATAATCTTGAGCTCTTTTGTGCTTTCGAAGGCATGTAAAGTTAGTACCGTCTGCATCTGAAGTCGTTAATACTCACCAATCTGCACTAGGTCGGTATTATAAGTGTTGGTCCATTCTCCCTATTCCATACAATTTCATTCCATCCAAAGAGAAAGCCTGTGCCTCAGTAGTGGAGACATTGCTAAGCCGGTGTTAAAGTTTAACTAAGGACACTTTTTTTTATAAATAATAAGTTTCTACAGCATTTTCACAGTCTATACAACTACAAATTATTTAAATTATTATGTTTGAATTATTTTGCATTCACAGTGCTATCCTGGAAGATATTTTTAAATGAAAAGTGCTTAAAATATGCCTTATTATGGGTATCCTCCCCAGATTTCAGGTCCTTTGAGATTGTTATTTTTTAATATATTTTTTAAGCTTATTTTATTAAAAAAATATTTAGTAATAAATTTCAAGAGAGACTTGTTATTTTTGCTTTACTTCTCAAAATAGCGGCCCGTTAAATTTATTTATATGAATTATTTCTTGATTTAAATTATTACCATATTAACATTTATTCTACAAGAGCAGTAAGACATTGATTTAATACTAAGTGTCCATCGAGTTATTAATGTTTTAAATCAAAACAGAGTATAAGCCATAAAACCTTTACAGACGTTTGTGCAACTGGTTGTATAAGTCTCCTTTGAGACAATATAAATATATATATATATATATGGAAATAAATAGGTAAGATATTAAATAACAAATATTAATAACTACTAAACATTTCTTTTAATAGCTTTCCCGCGATTGCAAAACAGCTAGTATAGTATTAAAATTTGTCTAGGGAGGCCTACTTTGCAATACGTAATATGTGAAATTAAATAATTTGTATAAATAAATTACATTCACAGACACCTAATTTAAATTATGGCCAAAAACATAAATATAACAGAAGTTATATTCATTTACATCGTCCCCGTTTTTATCGCTTGCTTCTTTTAAAAGTCTATTAAGAACTTGAATCCGTATCTGTTCTGCGTAATTAAGTTTCTTTTTATAACGACGGATTCACTTTTTCAATTAATATTCAAATTAATGTTAATATCATTAAAAGTGGATGCGGCTTGTTTTCAGAGTATTATTTTTACTATGTTAATTATATAATAAATATAAAATGAAACCTTAGAAAGGTATTAACCTTTAAATACGATTCAAAAGAGCTTTCAATAAGTTAATTTGCTTAAAGACTATTTCGAATTCGATATTCGCTGCAGCTGTCTAATTTTTTTATTTCACAAAAGCACTTATATTGACTCTGATTTCAGTTTTCTTACAATATAAGAAAGAAAAGCGATATCGGTTCTCTTTTATATTTATATAAAAAAAAAACATATTCCAGTCAACGAAATAAAGTTTTCTATTTTTAAATTTGATATTCCACCTACATCGATTCGAGAAATTTTTCGTTTTTTTAAACTAGAACCAACCTTCAACGTTCAACATGACGGCCATATTGATTTTCGGCTCAGTGTTGATCTGACACTCGTAGACACCGGCGTCTCGGGGCTGCACGTAGTCTATCTTTAGGTCCCAATCGTCGGACGGCTCTGGGTGGAGGACGCTGAACCTCGCGTCTCCAGTATACGTGAATATGTGAGATGTTAAAATGTGCAAGTCACGCTTTCTCATCCAGGAAACCTGTAAGGAAAACATAGTTTAATTACAATTTCCAACTGGATTATTGCGCGCAACTTTGTTCGAGTGGATTCCTAGGGGAAACTATTAGTGCAGTAATTTTTCTTTTTAATTGTATTTGCATTATTCATATTGTGAGAGCATTATGAATAATGTCTAGCTCCGTCCGGTTAAGTGATTAATTTCTATCTAAACTTAATTATTTATCACATTGCACGGTCATTATTATATTGGTATAGGACAATGGACAATTTAATAACAAAGCTTTATTTGACGCGGTGGGGGAGGAAAAACGTGTGATACGGTTTACCATAAGATGCTAATTATGTTAAATAATGAATCTTAATGTTTGTTTTTTTTAACAGATAATAAAAAATGATCAAATAAATTTGTTTTGGTTCTGTAGGTCACGTGATAGGATTGAAATGTAAGTTTCTTTACCTTACTACACTGCGCTTCTCAAACGTCTTGAATTTTGTGGTTATTTTTTTACCCGACTGGGCGACGCAAAGGAGGGTAATGTGTTTATTAGTCTATGCATGTATGTTTGTATGAATGTATGTATGTATGTTTGTATGTATATATGTATGTATGTATGTATGTATGTATGTATGTATGTATGTATGTATGTATGTTTGTTTGTTGTATTTGTTGTATGGGGGGCCCCACAAATATTTATTTTATTCGATTATTTTTTAAATTTGTTTTCTGTGAAAATTTGAACTGTCTTATTATAATGGTTCATGAGATACAACCTGCTGATAGATGGACAGTTAGATGGACGAACAGCGAAGTCTTAGTAATAGGGTACCGTTTTATCCTTTGAGTACGGAATCCTTAAAATATACAAGAATTTATATTTAATTTTGCATTTAAAATGCTACTAAGTACAACATATTATTTTTATAAATTACAATTCAATATTTTTAACTCTATCTACCATATTTTCAGTCTAAAAAATTAAAATATCACATTTAATATCAGCGCCATTTGTTAATACTGAAAAATATCTTGGTAATGTAACTCCCCCTTAACAAAGAAGGATTTTGTATATTATACGATAAAAGTTTAATTATTTGTCAGAAACCCTTTACAATTCTCAAATTATTATTTTCATTACATTTTGTAAGGCATTTGAAGCGTGTAAACAGATATCATTTAATTGTTAAGGTTTCTTTCCTTTATAATTTTGTCAGATGTCTGTCGAGCTGAGCAAAGTTGCTGAAATGTTTTGTTTCCATAATAGGATATACATTCAGAAAAAAATATTAATTAACAACTTCGAAACGACAAAAGTAATAATTAAGTTTTGATTATGATATTAAAACCCATAAAAAAAACATGAGATTAGAATGAAAAGAGTGATTGTTAGGAAAGCGAAAGACGTATGTGAAGACAGTGCCTTGTGTCGCACAGATTTTCGTTGTTTGTAGTTGAAAATAAAGAAATCGATTTGGACTAGTTAAGATAAAAACTCATATTGCACAGAATTTCTGATGTCCATATGTAGCAATGAGGCTACTGATTACATCATTGAATATTTTATTAGGAATTTAATTATGTTAAAATTTCGTTCGTTGTTCTTCACAACGTTGTCTTCCCAAACGGATGCCCTAATTCTATATTATTCACAGGAAACTTCTAAATTTATCTACAAAATCATTCGATTATGCTTATATATTCACAGCTACTATATTAACGCTTGTTTATCAAAAAAATTTGTTCGATTATTTGAAAAAAACAGCGCAATAATTTTCCAAACAACCCAATATTATTAATAAATTAAAATCTACACTTTCATTTTAAACTTCTTAGAAACAACCTTGTTGATTGCCTCAAATTCAATTTCTTTGTTGTTTTTGTCCAATATTGTATCAGGTAACATCCTGTCGATGACATAAAGCCGTTATTATTCTCTGCAGTGTTTGAAACAAAAAAGTATTTTTAATAAGACCCTTTTACAAAGTATGTTTAATAATATTTTGTTGCTCGCGAAACCAGCAGAGATGAGTGCTGCCTTTGATAAAAATTACACCAACAATAAACGTTTGAATTATATTTTTAATTCAAGAGACCCCGAGCTTGAGAAATTAGAGAATAAATTCGCCTCCTTTGTCGAGTTTTTTTTGTTTTTTTTTTTTGCATGTAATTAGAACGGTCAGAGTGAGTCGCTTTAAGCCAACCCTGTAATTAAACAAGACGAAGCGTGCAGCCTCTTTACAGCATTAAAATAAACCAATTATGTAACGGCTAAGCGCCCGTTTTTAAAAATCTTGGAAGTCTCGACCTTAAAAGTTTATCTCGACAAAGATTCTGAATTTATTCATGATGAATGAATATCTTTTGTTTATTGTGGAATAAATTGAGTGCACATGAAATTCCATCGCATTTAGCTTACCTTGGTGGGTCAAATCTAGGAAAAAATTTACGACAAAATAGTTTCCAGTGTTCAATACAGTTTATTACGTATTTTGTAAACCCCATTAATTGAAGGGCAATAATCGAAGGGATTTGAGTACGTGCACAAATACAATTAAGTAAATTGGAATCAACTTACTGCTTATATGGTGGTTTCGTATATACCATTACTTCGGGTGAAGATAAACTAAGCTTCTGGTTTACTTAGATCAACGTTTGTTGCTTTATTTATTTATAACATAGGTTTTATAATTTTTTTTTGTTTGTTTGTATAATATTATGTGATTATGTTATTTGTTTATGTGTTGTTTGTTCTGTATATATTTATTAATTAATTTAATATGTTATTAATGTAACGTTTGTTCCGCGTACCGCACAGACTCTGCCAGAATACCAGCGTTGGTTTGGCACTCTTGTGTGACACGCCAACACCAGCTGAGGCAGAGTCCTGATTGATTTCATTAATGTGAACATGTAATGTCTAATTATTTTCGTCCTCTGTTTATCATAGTATATGTTCCTTTAATTTACGTTCTTGTTTTTATTTATAATTGGTAATATCAATAAATGCTTCTTCTTCTATGTAACATTTAGCATATCATGAAATAATTTAAAAATTTAAATGGCGTCCGAAACAATATAGTAAATTGTAAACTGTCAATTTATTATTTAAACTTTTATTTGTTATGAAACTATTGGACCAACATTCATATGATTTCACATTAGTTTATTCAACTAGTAAATGAAAAAATCAAACAATGTATTTTTTTATTTATTTGGACTAACTTTGTGAATTGTCATTAACGACCGGTTCTCTAAGCTAAGCATCATGAGTATTAATCTTACATTTAGTTAAGCACTGCAAAAAAAAAATTTTCTAAACACTATTATTCACATCGAAATAGTGACACTAATGTCAAACCAACAGACCAAAAAATTTACGAGCCCCTCGGATTCATACCGCGCTCTTTTTTTTTACAAGGAAATGACGTAAGATAATTCCCCCTGAACAATATATTATAATGCGTCTCGGGACACGTCAGAGGGCTATTTATTTCCAGGAATGGGTTGTAGAGCCTTCCACCATTAATATGGCGGTCATCCGACCGTGTCTGAGGAGGGATATTGAGGGTCCAATGAGTGTTCGACAGTGAAAAATGATGCGAGCAGGTGGGGTACGACAGATAAGAAATATGAACTGGTCATAGAACAATACAAAGGATTGACTGTACCTCATAAAAAAATGATCATTAAGGTAATGTATACCTCCTTAATCTCATCGGTTATTGAACTTTTACAAAAGAAAAATATCCCTATTTTAGTGTTGTAGGATGTTGGTCGTGATTTTACTACAATCTTATGCAAGGATTAGGTTCAGGTAATTTAAAATAATTGTTTGATTACGAAGCTTTTTAAAGAGTTGTACATGTACGCATTACCATTTAGCTTTTGGAATTCATGCGAGATTTAATGTCCTGATGAGTTTTATTGACATTATTATTTGTGGTGACACCTTTTATTGCAATATCATTGATGATACCTATCTATTTACATAAATTTTTATACTGGATTACAGCGGAGACAGAAAGTAACGAACCCCAAATAGTCTTAATACGAGGGTCAAACTGAAAGTTCTTAGAAAATCAAAAACTGATTACATTAGCCAGTTATTAGTTTTATTATATCTTTTCAAAATATTGTCCATTCACGTCAATACACCGCTGCATGCGATGGAACCACTGGGAAAAGCACTTTGCCCACTCGTCCTTAGGGGTCTCTTCAATGGCATCGCGATACGCAGCCACCGCTTCTTCAGCATTCATAAACCGCTTTCCTTTAAGTTTTTCTTTAATTTTTGGAAATAAATAAAAATCACAAGGCGCGAGGTCGGGGCTATACGGCGGGTGACCCAGTAATTCAACGTTTGATGTCGCCAAATAGTCGATCGTTCGCTTGGCGGTGTGCGACGAGGCGTTGTCGTGGTGAAGGAGGATCCTACTGCGAGGTCGTTTCTCTCGAACTTTTTCCAAGACAAGTGGCAAACAATTGGTAGTGTACCATTCTGCAGAAACTGTTTTTTGATCCTCTAACACAATTGTTGCAAAATGACCTATCCTTCCAAAGAACGAGGCCACCATTTTTTTTCCCGCACTTCGATCTCTCTTCACTTTAGTTGGCAACTCCTCGAAAGGAAACACCCACTGAGCAGATTGTCTTTTGGTTTTAGGATCATAACAGTAAATCCAGCTTTCGTCACCTGTTAGTATGTCGAACACAGCATTTGAGTCACCTCCGTTAAATCTTTCAATCATTTTACGACACCAATCCACACGATGGAGTTTTTGAGCCTCAGTCAAATTATGAGGTATCCACCGGGCGCAAAGCTTCCTGACCGCTAAATGTTCGTGGAGGATTTTGTGCACTTGACTCATACCGATGCCTAAGCTTGTCCGAATCTGTTGATAGGTCACTCTTTTGTCAGTCTCTATCATACGCCGCATAACACAGATGTTATCTTCAGTCGTCGCCGTAGAAGGCCGTCCCTCACGTAAATCATCAGTGAGATTAGTGCGACCACGTTTAAACTCATTAAACCAGTTGTAAACAGTCGCACGAGACGGGGCTTCATCGTGAAAGGCCAATCGTAGTCTATCATAACTTTCTTGTTGACTTAAATGACATCGAAAGTCATAAAAAATCATTGCACGAAAATTTTCTCGTGTTAAATTCATGATGACGTGACACAGACAATTTTCAATTTGCCGCCAAATCGTAAAACAAATGACAAATGAATGAAATATATACTCAGTAATATTGGCAAAGAGTTATATTTTCAAATTTTAGAATTATTTTTTTATTATATTGTTTATAAGTGGCCAGTTCTAAGAACTTTCAGTTTGACCCTCGTATACGTCTTTTACTTTCTTGATATAACTCTTTTCATATGCGAGACACATTTGAAAATCTGAAGTATCTACATTTACGTATTACTAATTTAACACGTTCATTGCCGTTCCACGCGTGAAGCGTCCTATTACGATTAAAGATACATAAAAAGCTCTGACAGACAAGTGAGACAGTACACATATAAATCTGTAATGATCATGAAACAATTTAATTTGATTTTTACTTTTAATTGAAAAACTGTCTATTATTTTACTGATCTCATTAATTCGTTTAGAAGGTGTTCAGAGCATACGAAAAGTATCAATTTAATTCGGTATTGAAATAAGTCCAAGAAACTATTGGGTGACAACATCTTATATTCTTATCAGCTTTCTCGATAAAAAAACAATACGGTACCGTAAACTATACTAAAATCGATTTTAATATATTAGCATTTTCATTATATATAATAATTTCACTGCTGCGGTATCATTGTCAGTTTTTCACAGGCGATGTTAAAAAAATCATGATCTTTAAATAAATATATGTTTTTGGTAAATAAAAAATCTGTAAAGAAAAAAAATGTGTTCGTTTGTATAAGTTGGCTTACGTTGTTTTTGTAAATGAAACGTGATTAAATAATAACATTCTGTGTGTAAGTTTGTATAAAGCTCAGCCTTTAATTATTTATAGCTCAACGTAATAGTCGTATATCTCTAATAGCAGGTCAACGGTTTCGTGGTGCAAGCCTACCTTGAATTAGAGTTAATACCGGCTCGTGGTCTCCGGGGCTATTGTTGCCTTAATATCAGTAATTTATGTTGGGATTACGTTGATTGAAGGCGCTGACTGTGGCCGTAATTGCCGGGGAATAAGAAAGCCATGAGCTATTATATTTGCTATCCGGCAGATGGCGTTGTTCTCTACTAAATTGTGATAATAAGGTATTGAAAGAGAAATGAGCAGTAGCTGTGATATTTATTTAGTAAATTAAGACCAATAATCTGAGACAGCTTTTAAATATTTTATGTATTTAAAACGCAACATAGTAGCGTATAAGAAATCCGTTAAATCAAAAGAATGAGATTAATATCGGAAAACGAGATAATAAGCTTGTTTTCGAATTCTTTTCAACGTTACTGTCTGCATCGTAAGTTATTCACACTCAAAAGTCAATCTAATTTTGAGATTTTCTTTTAATAATCAACGCTTTAGTAATGTAAACAACGTCTAATTTATTGGACAGTAAATCGGTCCCGTCTCAATGTGCAGACGTTAGCACCCACTTATGTACGAGTATGACCCATTCTTTCTATTTGATTCCATTTGAAGAGAAGACCTGTACTCTTGTAGTGGGGACATAATAAGCTGCTAATGATGATAAAAAGATGATGAGGACGAGTTTGATGCATTCGTAAGTTACGAAACTATCGCTAGGGCCGGCCATAGGATGGGTAACCAAAAATTTATTTTCTGGAGTTCCTCCTTGCTTCGGAAAGTTGATAAAGCTATTGTTTCCGGCTGCATCGTTAGTTGTTAACACCCACAAATCAGCATTGGGCACACGTGGTGGGTCATAGT